TGGACTTCTCTTAGGGAAGCACGCATGTATCATTTAGTCTTACTAAAACAAAGAGGAAACAGCTGCTCTTGCAGATCACACAACCTGTTGGGAAGCAGCATGCCGGAGGTCACAAGGTGAGAAAACATAGCTGTTTCTAATGCCAAGGTGGAGACGACTCACATTAAGTGTCTATGCATCACAGACTTTACCTAAAGATGAACTGTGACTAACATCACATTAAATAAAACTTGTAAAAACATGAATTAGCATTGTAGTGGGGATGCAGGAGTGCAAAGTAGGACTGGATGTATTACATGCTGAAAGAGAAGCCTACAAAAGGTGACAATATGATACACTTGTTGGTGCAGTCACCAGAGATATTCTTGAGACTATCAACGGTGTTCAGGTAATGAGATAGTTTTGTAGATTTGTTTGAAGGTAAGGATTGAAGGATGAAAAGAAAAGGCATTCATGGAAGCTTTAGCCAGAAAAAAAAAAAAAAAAAAAAGCAGGAGAAGAAATCAGTTAATGGAAAAGCAACTGTGTAAACTTTGGAATGACTGGGCAAAGCAGAATTGCTTAAGGCAATTTAGCTTACTCAAGAGATAGCAAATTAGGGGAATCATAAAGTCTTGCTAGTCACAACATTTGTTTCAAAAGGAAGGGGTAAATAAATATTAAAGATTGACCAGGAATTGGCAATTACTTAAAAACATTCAAAATCAAAATTGTTGTGTATATGTATTGAATTAAAACACTCTTAAGATAATTCTATATGGGCATGACATTTAGCATCCAAATGACCAGCTGGAGTGAAATATGATGGTCTGTCCTGATGATAATTTTCAAATGGAAATTTATGTCCATAAAGAAAACAGTCATTCAGATAGATTGATACAAATTGGCATGCTATGACTACTGCAGAAGTGCACCGTGACTAATCATTATATAATGAGATACTTCCATAAACCTTCAAAAGGTTCTAACACCACTGTTACAAGTTCTCACTTTCCTCCTGTATCACCAGTTAGTTATGTCAAATGCAGCAGTAGAAAGGAAGAGATCTTCTTCTCTTAACATGGAGAAAGCACCAGAGGAACCTACGAGTCCTAATGAAAGCTTTGGCCTGAATTCCTGGTTTTCACATAACCATATAATAGCTTCTGCTTTCAAGCTTGTCCTGTCTTAAGCAAGGGAATACTAAAGAGGATTGGCCAGTGAATATTTATGAAGCACTTTGAAGTAAAAGCTCAGTATTCCTACTAGTGATTTCCAAAGCTCTGTGCTAAGGTTTCAATCTTTTAGGATACAGCCTTTTAAAGCCAATCCATTTCAGCTTCCGCTATTGTCAGTGGAAAGACCTGATTTTGAAAACAAGTGAACAAGTTTTGCAAAAGAGAAATGGGCATCATTGGAGGCTGAGAAAAGACTCATTTTGAGCCAAATTTTAAATGATCATGATTTATCTCTAGTCTCTAGTGTTTTCTCGTTATCCAGCTGTACCAGTGAAAATCCGCACCTCAAAGAATAAAACAGAATAGCTAATAATTACAAGTGTGATCCAGTCCAGTTTTCACATACATTCTAGGCACCCAAAATAAGTCTTACATTAAGTGCACTTTCCTGTCTTCCTTTCTTCCCTTTAGCTTTTAATATTGTCCTTCAAGGTCCTGGGATCCTTGTTCTTTGTTGTCCTTTTCCTTCTTTTGATCTATCATCTTTCCTCGAGAAAATTTATTCATTTGGGTTATCTGTCAAACCTCACTAGACAAACTTATTTTACTCATTGGAGCGTGGAAGAAACATTATATTACTGTTTGTTGGGTTTTTTTCCTTCTTTACAGAAGAATCCCACAGACATGAGTTTAATTTCAAATGCAGTAGTGTCCCCAACTCTGTCCGACTTCTTGAAAAACTGCCTTCTCCATTGTGAATGTAGGAGTTTTGCTTAAGAAATAAGCACAGCCTCCACAGATATATAAAAGCAAATATTTGCATTTTGAAGGGAAACCCTTATCAATACTGCTAATGGAATTAAATTTATATAAAGAAGCTTTATATGAAAGGACAGTACATTCAAATTCCAAATGTTAATACTAAAGATGCTCACTGTACAGCTGATATTTGCTACAAAGTTAATTCTTAATATATATTTCTCTCTCTATAAATCAACATATAAAAACCTTCTAAAAATGAGTCAATGTTGATTGCTATATTGTGACAAAGTCCAACCAGTTAGATGTTTTATACTGTTAGAGCTGACTTAAAATATCCTGTGTTATTATCAAGGCAATATCCTATTAAAAAGAAGAAAAGAAGAAAAAAGAAGAGGGAGACTATTCTGAGAACCTCAAAATGAAAGATAAGCTAGACAGTTATTGCTAATATTTCCCATAATGTTCTGGCAGCATAAGAAAGATAAAATCTGTGTAACATCATTTCACTGGAATGATGTCTCCTAAATTTTTTTGGAGGCTCTATAGAAGCTTTCTATCACATCCTTTAAGGAGCAAGTTGCATGGACCTAATCAAACTCCACTGAAATCAGACACCAGGCCACGGAAGAACACTGTATGTGTAGGAACACAGAAAATTTTAGGTATGTTCATCCATCAATCTCAGTATTGATAGCAGTGTAGAGCATTGAAAGGGCCACCAGTTTCTGCAGTAATACAAAAGAGACCTCACAGTCATGTGAGCAAAAGGTTAAGAATGCTGTCTGTTGTGCGAGGCAAGAAATCATCAATCTAAGTTTAAGAAGCACAACACTGATATGCTGTCATATTCAGTATACTCAGGATTAAAAAAAAATTGCATTGTGAGACCGGGAAATAAGCACAATTGTTTTGCTGCACTTCTTTGTTTACACTGCGTACACATGCACACACATTAAATATGTCTATATGTGTAAAATGGCCTCTCAGTAACTTCAAAAATTTTCCATGTGTAGATTCATGAAAATTTTCTAAAAGAGGAACAGATCACTATAGAAGTCACTGAAGATTGCTGATATTTGAGGATTGTTTTTCTTCCTTGCGTTTCACATACTCCATGGAAGTCAGTGGCTTCAGATCAAAACCACTGCATTGTATAAAAGCTTATCCTGAAAGTCTCACTATGTTTAACACTGTGTAAATAGTTTACCAAGGAAGAAGGATGCTGACAAATAGGTGTAGCTGGCACTAGAATGTTGAGGCCGAAAAGCCAGAAGATTTCCAAAAACAAGATGTGGGTACCAGAAGTTCCCGATTCCTGATACAGAATTTAATTTAGTAAATTGAGCTTCTAGCTTTAAAATGTTAATTTTTAAAAGGAAAGCAAGCAAACAAAACAAAACAAAACAAAAAACAAACCAAAAACAACCCACAATAGTATCCACCTATTCAAATATTACAGCAATATTTAATGTTTACAAAATTTGTCACTATTGAAATGCACCATGTAATTCTTTCTGTTTAATTTCAGTGTCACTTTTGAAGGGCAGAAGATGATTTTTAAGTGAAATATACCTACCTGATTTCACATGATCTTAGTCGCAGCTTTTTGTATATTCCTACTTACTCCTTTCTATTTCAAAACATGCCTAAACTACAGATCATCTTCACTTCAATCTGCTAGCGACTCTTTTCTTGAACTAATTTTATGTAATTTTCCCACTATTCTTCTTTAGAACACAGCAAGTTTTATCCTATATGTGTACAAATATTTCCCTGGGGGTTCCTCCTATTTCAGAAATCTACACTACTTTATCTTTGCTCTCTGTTGACAGTCTTGACATCTGGAACCAACTTTGTCATTTTTTATGTTCATTTCCTTCACTATACAAGGTTAGTCAGTTATGTTTCTAAACAAATTACTCTTTCAGTAAAAAAAAAAATGGTCTTCCTTCCTAACAAAAATATTTGTGAAGAATTATTCATTTTCCTTTTTTTTTTTTTTTTTTTTGAAAAAACTGCTGTGACATTGAAAATTTATTAAAATGGTATGAAAAGTTATGAAATTTATTGAAATTTGTCATTTAAAATGCTGGTAACTTTTAATAAAAAAAATGCAAAATAGAAAAGTGAAAAATGGGTTATTTTTCATACTCTTAAAAAGAACTCTGATATCATTGTATTAATAAACTTTTAAATGTTTTAACAAGCTGTAACCATAAAATAATTAGGATTGGACATGGCACTGCAGATGGGCATTAGTAAAACCTTTTTAGAGCATTGCAGAGGAAGCTTTATGTTCTTGAGCTTTCCATAATCCTTCCTGCTCTTGGTCACCGATCCATTCCCATTGGATTATTTTTACAAGGGTATTACTGGTCAAATTTCAAATTTCAGGGTCGGAATGATATATAGAAAGAATTATCTTGGGGTAAATGTATTTGGGTACAAATGTAAAAGTAAAAAAAAATAAGGTTATAATGACGAGCACAATAATGGTATTTTATACATGTAAACAGGAGAAGTCTTAACAGATGCCACTGTTATTTCACAAGTAATCCAATAGTCTCTTAGCAGTTTGGCAGCTTCTGATTTGAACAAATGTTTAACTAATTTAAGGGTTTCTTAAAAAAGACAAATATCAAGATTTTTTTTTAATTCTATGTTAAATATTTCCCCCCTTTCCATGATATGAATATGTGCATGTTACAAATTATTACGAATAATGGAATTATTTTCTTTTGACAAATGGAAACATTGAAATTTTCATGAATGTTGACTTTTCAGTTCATAAAGGAGGTTTTAACCTGAGTTCATATACGTTTCTTTCCTCTTGTGTTAATCATCCCAAAGTGCTACAGATGTGTTTGTTAATACATAAATAAGCATTAAATCAAGAACAGCTAAGTTCCTGGGTTAGTATTTGAGAGAAATTGCAAACACGTTGGTCACACCTCATTTAGATAATTAACCATCTATACTCTGATTCTCTCATTCGGAATTCACTCATTTCTTTACGTAGACAAACGACATAAAAACTGAAAAGGAATATTTATTTCTTCCAAAAGCACCAATATTTGGAAGCCTGAATGCCTTAAAGCCATAGCACTTTATTTTCTGGAAACAGAAATGGAAATGGAGAGTCTGAAAGTCCCACCTGATCTCATTTCTAATACTAGAAGCTTTTGGCTAAGGGATTCTCCTCCATTCAGTGAAATGGTTTGCTTCAGTTACCCCACACTTCAGGCACTATTTGAAGTAGTTGAGTCCTGCCACAAGGAAAAATTTCTCCAGGAAAAGTTCAGAGTCCAGCACAGCAATGTGGGCAGCTCGGCCTATCAATGTGTTGGCGGTGTTTGGTAGAGCATGGAACACGTTGTGTCTGATCAAAGTGCAGTCCTTTGCCCCAATTAAAGGCTGAAGTAGATTGTTAATCATTTCTGCGTAAACAGGACCTGCAAAAGATTTTAGATATTACACCTATTTACCAAAGATGTTTAGATCTCCTCTTTCTTTTCATGTCATATAAGGACAGTCTCAATGGAAAATGGAAATGAGGACAAAATGCAATAGAAACAATTTATTACAAAAATTTGCCAAGTTACAGCATGTTATAAATGTCATTCATTGTCTATCCAGGGAAGTCTAATGAAGCCCCTAGGACATATCTCAGCACTTCTATTTCTCCTGAGGTGGAAGGAAATGCTCCCGTTTCCTCTGGGGAAGAGGGTTGGACCAATGTTGTCTGTGAAGCTGAATGCAAAAGGTCTGGCAAGACATAGAGGCCTATTCGGGTTTCTCTGGGGAATGTGATGCAGGAAGATCATTATTCTGCAGACAGCTCAGGAATTTATAGGACAACAACAACAGCTCAGAAAACTTTTACTCATGAACATGCATTGAATGCAGATCTAGCATATACTATACCAAAGATGTCCCTGGGACACATCTGGGGTCAAAAAGAAAGAACTGTGTGAAGGCAACCATGCTGACTTTTGGGTTTGGGTGTCTCTACTTCCAAGGAGTACTGCAATTTCTAGGTAATCATACATGTGAAACATGTATAAAGTTATACTGAACATTATTTCTGGAACTAGTATCAGACTGAAGCCATGGAACATTCTATAAAAAAGGGAAACTGTAAGTAACAAAGGCATTACTAGGAACAGTGCACAGACTGTGCTCAAAGGAGAGTTAGGCATCTGATGAATTGAGTCCTGATGTGCTTTGCATGATTTTATTCCAAACCAATATGATTTTAGATCTCTTAAATTACATGGCAATCATCCAAACACTTCTGAAAACAAAGAGAAAACTCATTAACTTTGGATTTGCTGAGAGAGATTTCATTGTGTGAGACAGTACTAATAATTCAGTAAACTAAGGAGTAGCATTGTTAAGAACAAGTTCTGTTTTCATCAGTTTAAAAAAAAATAATTAGGAGGGCAAGGGAAAGAATCAATAAGAAATCTTTGATCACAACCTAATTGAAATTTATATTCATCAAACAAATAACATCTTTGGAAACTTTTCTTGATTTTAGTCATTTCCTGTGGGAAGACAACACTTTCTTCCTTATGAAATATGCATCTGAGTTTTGATCACGCTGATGAAATATTCTTGTGATACTACAAACTCAGGTACACAAAAACACTATTTTTCAACAGCTTTGCAAATACAGAAATATAAACATACCTGTATGCCTGTCTTTGAGTGCATTTTTGCACATTTCTATTCTTGCTGAATGAAAGGGTACATATCTGTCTTGGGGTGAGGCCACTAATACAACATTTTTAAAGTATTGAAGACCTGTAATAAACAAATGCATTAAATACATTTATAATAGAATCTTAGAATCATAGAATCCAATATGGAATCATAGAAGCCACTCCAACCCCCTTGCTGTGCACAAGGATGCCAACCACTGAAAGAGACTCTAGATCAGGCTGCCAAATGCACCATGCAGTTTGGCCTTGAATGCCACCAGAGATGGGTCATCCATAACTTCTCTGGTCCAGCACAATGATGGGCAGTACAAACATATTCGTGTTAAATAACACTTTAAAATCTACAGTGCAAAATAGTTAAAGAATAATTAAAACATAAAGCACAAACTAAAATTCATAAGAATAGCTTTAAAACTATTTATCCTCCTTTTGTGAGCTATTTATTACTTACCAGTACACATATAGGTTATTTATATATCAACGATAAAAAACCAAACACAAAACAAACAAACAAACAAACAAACAAAAAAGCAAGAACTGTCTTGGTTTCAAGTAGCGATTGATCAGAATCATCACTTTGCAAATATTTATCCTTGTAACTACTGGAAACACATGTGTACTTACAATTCATATAATTGGGGATCACATTCAAAAAATAATACAAAAAAAACCCAACAGCTAGTAAAATAGAAAAACGAAAAAAGAATTGAAAGAGAGAGGGGGGAAATAAATCACTTTCACTGCTATGACATCACAGTGTTACATCAGTATGGAAAGAGCCTTGGGATTCAGTCCCTGCATCCTGCAGGGATAAATACACGGTGATGGTACATGGACTCAAAACCATGAATTCTCCCTCTTCTCTGGAGGCAATGGGGATGCCACTGGCTACAGAAAAGTGTTCCTGCTGCTTACTCTGTATGTGGTTTCTTGAGCCCTCCAAAACCCTCATTCAGGGGAAAACTAGGAGAATGAACACAGATGATGCAGGCTACTAGGCCAGAGATTATTCTGAACACAGGAGGGCTGTGTGTTTCACCTTCATCCTTCCCTTCTCCTTATAGAAATTAGGTCCAGAACTGATTCCTCAGCTTTCTAGATTTCATAGAAAAGTTGACCATCACCACCACAAGTGAACTCTGCCAACTACCTTTACTAAACATGACTGAGACCATCATTTTCTTCTTGTGTAATCAATCCTGCTTGTGGCTTTTGCTTTGGAGAAAGATGTAGGTGAAGCATCAGTGAGTTTTACCATAACTAAAATCTTATGTGAAGTGGCTCAGTAGAGAATAATGTTTTTCGTTTTCAGACAAGCATAAGGAACATTAATTAACTGTGTTCAAAAAATTATTAAACAGCTCCACGTCTGTCAGAAAAAAACAAAAACATTAAGAAGTTGTATTCATCTTCCACAGTTTTCATTTTCTAACAGCAACATAATGGAGTGAAAAAAAAAAAAAATTAAGTATCAGTTAGTGACTCTCCATGTAAAAAGAAGGTTCTAAGAACATGAATACTGACTCTATTTTTGCAGCTTTGGTATCTGATTCAGAACTGGGAGGAAGACAGGTGAATTGTTTTTGTGTTGGTTTTTTTTTTTTTTTTAGTAAAACTTAGAATGCCAGTAATTCTCTTGGTAACTCAATGTCTAAATTCTGTTAAGAAAGTAGAAATTGTTGTTTTATTTTGTGAAACGGCTTTTTTTTTTCTTTTAAAAATGGAATAGTGCTCAACACAAATGATTAAGTAATAGTAGAAACAAAAATTGTAGAAACAAAACCAATAAATGCATACTTAGCACAAGTTTGCACATATGCAACATTAAAAATAACACTTAGAGGGATATATTTGCCTGAACAGAAGGATTATGCTAACTTTCTTTTCTTAGGGAAAGCATAATTTATTTCTTTTACTCATGGTAGACCAAAGAAGGGGTAATATGATCTCTGCGCAGACAACGTTTGCATTGTGAGGCCATATATCTCACTCTGAAGTACAGAGGTGTCACAATAGACATGAATAAAATTTGTTCTTCATCTCACAGCATCTATTTCCTAGAGATAAGTGATATTAAATTTTAAAAATAATAAAAAAGAAGAAAAAATGATTTGCATCTATTAAAATAAATTAAGTGATGGTGGCCTGTTATTTCTTGCTTGAAGAATATGAAATTAGGTGCAGGCTTGCTTCATCATGAAGGCTTTAATTGGGCACTAACTGTTTGGCAACTATATTCATTTATAACTATGCAGACAAAAGGCACAAAAAAACCACCCATATTAATGTTAGAAAGAGTTGTTCTTTCAAAAGCCAGAACATTTATAGAAAGATCAGTAATAGCATGCATATTCTTTACTCCTTGGAGGACATGGCACTGTAGCAGAATCCTTTGGCATAACTCCCAACATCTGCACAATTACATTAAGCCTCACTCACCTGTTTTTTGGCTGAGCTGGTAAAGGAAACACTTGCGCAGATCTGCATTGTCCCTGAAGGTCAACTGCAAAAGTGACCCTGATTTTTTCAATTTCTGCATGAGCCATAGACCTGCAATGAAAATTTGACTATATTTTTACCTTTTTGCTAATTACCAACCAAAGGGATTAAAGATATGTGCCTTTAATAATAAACTCAAAGTGAATTCAGTAAGGTTAGTACTTTAACTCGCTATTTTATGTCTTTGTTTTGTCTTGAATTGCTAATAAACAAGGAGAAAAGTCTGGGTGTCTCATTTGTACTGTCCAGTGTTGTGGCAAGATAAACATTCAGGAAGGCTAAACTTTGGGACATTCAGATCCCACACTATGGTGTTTTCTTCAGCTTTAGAGATGCCTCTATTTATTGTCAGTATGAACAGAAGTGGAAGAACACTGGGGAAGTGAGTTCTTCTTTCGTTGCTCTACACCTAAGGATTTTCCAGGGAGCAGTCTGAGACCATGCAGTAGGTGCCCTCCCATTAACTCTTACCTGTACTAACCAAAGTACTGTTGTTGTAAAGGGTTCCAAGGTGAGGCCCAGAGAGGGACAGGAAGGTATGCAGCTTGCTGAGGTAATAGCGAAACCTGGGGCGAGTTAGTACAGATCGGATGATGACATTACCAAGGGAATGTCCAATAAAACTGTTGGGAAAGATGGAATAATATAAATACAAAAAAACATGCATATGATATTTAAATTAAGTATAAGGGAAACATAAATTGCTCTCAACTGGCCTTTATTGGGGCTTTTAGTAGCATCATTTAGCTGTCATTTTATATTTTGTTCAGCCTCATTACTACTCTCTACCACCTATTACAATGTTAAAATTCAGCTCACTGACTTCAATGGCTTTTGACATAAGATACTTTTGGAAAAGCTAATTTCACTGAATGATGCTCATGGCCACAGATAGCTCAGACAATTCAGTTAGAATGCTTACCTTATCCGGGATATGGAGAGGTTATACAACTGAATATGCTGAATAATTTCATCCAACAATCGGTCGGTCATTGTATCAAAATCAGCAAAAGTATCAGTCTGGTGAAAAAAGATTTGAGTAGGTGAATCAAAAACATATATTGTATATATATATATATATTGCAGTATACGTATATCCCAGGCTATTGTTATTTTCAAAATAAATCATAAGCACAAAAGTAATAACTATTCCAAATTTTCTATATGAATGCTCAGTGGGGTCAGAATTTCTCTCAGTCTCCTGACTTTCTAAAAATGTAAGCTCTTTGAAAACAATCGTGAAATTTCACAATTATATTCCAGGCAACATTGCAAACTTACTCAAGTATTTCTCATGTAATGAGAAAAAAGTGGTTACTATCAATCACATGGCTTTTGGTACAGCCCATGTAGAAATTCACCGTCTTCATTGAGCTCTCAGGTAAGGTAAGGCAAAATCTTTTGTCAGAGTTTATTTGACCCTATATTGTGTTTTTAGCTTCAGACACATAACATGAGTATTAAATTTCAAACAAGACTAATCCTACACTTCCTTCATAGGAAGTGGAAATAGGACCCTGTAAAAGACAGTATTTTAAAGGGTTAAATCACTTTCTGTGGTTGCTTCTGTTTCCTCCAATGACAGTGCCTCTAACTTAGGCATGATAATATTAACCTGGGCCTATAATTTGTTAATAGTAAATCTAACAGTATCAGGCTGAGTGATTTCTCCTTCTCTGGAAATACTCACAACCTTCCTGAATGTCTACCTGTGCAGCCTGCTGTTGGGGGCCTGCTTTGCAGGAGGATTGGATTCGATGATCTCTAGAGGTCCTTTCCAAACCCTATAATTATGTGATTCTGTGATTTCCAATTCATAATTAAGGCTTGAAGTGGCCTAACTTAATAGTGGTGAGAATTGCTAATGCTCAACCTCTGAGCCATATTCTGCACAACAAGATAAAAGCTTTTGACATTTAGAATCGAACAGATTACTATGATAAAATAATTTACAGAATATAGAAGGTTGGCTCTGAAAGTAATGCATCCTATCTTATTATGTTGGCCCACAATGTCAGAGGCAGATGTTGGTGATACGGTAGTAGAGGTTGAACCTTCCAGCCAATGTTCTGCTACATTTTGTTGCTGATGGCAGCAGAGAGGCAGTCTGACAGAATGGCTCCTGACATGGAAGTCAGTGTGTATGAAGCAAAGGTGTGTCACTGATTTCCTTCATGTGGAAAAAATGGCACCCATTGATATTCATGGATGCTTACTGATTGTTTATGGAGAACAAACAGTGGATGTGAACACAGTGAGTCGGTGGTTGGTATGTTTCAGAAGTGGTGACAGCAGGTCACCTCTGCTTTTGCATATTTTTATAGGCACAGTATGCAAGCTTCTGTTCATCGCTGGTGAAAATGCAATGCTGGTGACTATAAAAAAAAATAGTGTTTTGTACCTGAGAATTTGGTCTATCAAATAGTGTAATCGTATTCTTTGTATCTGTTGTAGTTTCCATGAAAATAAATAGGAAGCATTACTTTCAGAGCAATCTACATGAATTACACATTCATGGCTGATGTTGATGCTAAGGATGTGATCACAAAATTATTATGCCATTTAATGAAATGTTGTGTGAATATTGTGTGTTTGTTATTCAACAATATCAATAAGAGAATGAGTGCCAAAAAGAGACTTAAACAATTTGTTGCTTCCAACAGTCGTGGCAATTGTGATACAAAAAAAAAATAGTATGTTGTTTGATCTACACATTTACAGGCAAATCTTATTCAGAACTGTGTCATCTGGCAAATCAACAGGACTCTAAATCAAATAACTAACGAGTTGCCACAGAAACAATCATCAAATATTGGAGCAGCTATTCAGAGCAAACATATCTAGTAATTAATGCTTTTGTGACACAACCCATCTTGCTAATTGCAGCTCTAGCAAAAGAAAACATGAGCATATTCACTTTGCAACACTGCATTTAAATAAACGTTCACATAAACTACAAACAGTCCACTAACCTCCTGCCCGTTTGTTTAGTCTGCATTGATAATTAATGATTTCTTCTCAGGCTCATCATCCCAAATCTTTCAGGTTGTTTAAAAGTGGAAAAATACCAGCTTGGACATTAATCACAACTTAAACACATCAAAAGTCATATTTCACCAGGTTATATATCTATCCTTCAGTATCTTCAGTATCTCAGCCTGACTGAGTTTGTCAAGTAGAGGACTGCCTAAAAAAGGTGGCTTGACTTTTCCTCTCTTAAGGAAAATTCAGCTGAACATTTGATTTTGTGGATCATTTTCAGAATGGTCCCCAGAGCAGGGAAAAAATGTGACCGGATGCTTTAAAGAATCAATTTTAATTTAAATTAAAAAAAAAAAAAAAAAGCCAAAATTTCCAGTGCTATAGGAACTTTCTCATTTTTTCACACTCTAGGATAGAAAGTTCCCATTATGACCTTGGGATAATGGTAAGTAGAGGTGCTGTAAGAGCTAGTGAGATGTTCATTGAAGGTGGCAAATTCATACACCAACACCAACTACTCACTTGTAAGTATAAAAGCTATTGAGTAAAGGGTGGAAAGTTTTGACTCAAGTTTCTCAGCTGATCTTAAATCATAAAATCACAATAATGCTTCTGATCCAGCACTGGAAATGCTTATCTTATGCATAAATGTAGGCCTCAGTGTCATTAATATGAGTTCACTGAAAAGCAGAGTGTTGAATTCATTTTTGTTGCTCTGCTTGGACTGGCAGTGAATTTTCCTGAAGGGCTTTTATTTCTCATTTAAGAATATAAATCTCACAAAAATTCTAACAGGTGAAACAATGGTTGATGCACCAAAAGAAGCTGACAACACCTTCTGGATATTTTACATCCTCCAGAGAATTTAACATCATTAAACATGCTGCTTTCTGTTGGTGTTGTGTCACTCAGCATCCAACAGGCAGAGGCTGAAAGGTTTCAAACTCACAAGATAAATCAATTTTCTTTGTGTAAGTTCTAGTCTTTTAAGTAACAACATAGTTGCTTTTGACTTCAGTGCTCTAAGTATTTCCATATGGGTTCAATCTCCCTACCATCTTACACAAGAACAGGTGTTTGAGCTCAATCCTACTAAAACTCACTGAATTTCCCTGTTCTATTGCTTAATTCACCTTGTGAAAGCCTTCCTGAAGGCCCAGTTTTAGCAACACCAAAAGCTTGTAGGAGATCTAATGGAAGACAAAATTTTGCTCTATACTACCTGATTTCTTTCAGACATTAGGAAGTCCAGTTTTCCACTAGGGAGTCCCAGTTCTATAAAAGTCTTTACCAGCCGTAGATCTGCACTGTTACCTAGAAACAAATGACACTTCATAAGATGCAATTTGACAGAAAAAATAATTGAGACTTAATTTAATATGTTTATCTTCTAATACACTTTGCAACAGGAAGCTCTTGCTAAGTGCTGCCATGACAGCTTGCCACACCATAGGATCATGCACTGAAACAATGGGAGAGCAAGAACGTTGACATCTGTGCAAGGAGGGCCGGACCTCACCTCCTGCTTTTGGGCACTGCATGAGCTGCACAAATAGTGTGGAGGACAGGGCAAAGATAGAGCTCAGAATAACTTAGTCCCCTATTTTCTGAACAGTGTAGATAAGGCAAGGAGTCATGAAAAGGCAGATGTCTGTCCCTTCCAGTTTGCACCAAGTGATAATACCAGGTGCACCGCAGACCTTCAGGGGTCCTTGGCACCTGTGCTTTGTGTATAAGGATGGGTAATCACATGCAGAATAGCCTGCCTCTCTGCACTTGCAATTAGACCTGGTTCTGAAAAGCAGTCTTATAACATTTTGGAAGATGACCAAAATGCCCCAATGTCATACTAGACAAATTCTGAGGTATTCTGAACTATTTTGCTGGAAAAGGATGTACTTTTTTTTTATGAGAAATACGTTACTGCCATTGGGATATTGAATGGCAAAAAATGCCTGCATAAATCATGGAGAATTTCACACTTCTCAGTCCCTCCTTCTCTGTAGTCTCAAGACTAACACCTTCACCTAGCCCACTGAAACCAATAGCTTCAAGCAAAGTTTCAACTTTAACATATCCATTTTCTGCTTTGAAGGTATCTATTCAAAATATTCCAGGCCAGCCTTCCACTGCAGTGAATATGTGTCATTCTTCAACATTCTAAAGCCAGCAAAATTATTTCCTACAACATTGGTATACTTTGTTAAGTAATGCTTTCATCCTGGTGGTATAAAGAATTAGATAAACAACTGGCTAAATAACCAGATATCTCCAAAAAGACATGAAGAGTTACTGTAAAATACTCATACTGTACACTGAAGGACTGATGTAATTTGGTGCAGAATTCTGCCTAAATAAAACAGACAAAAATATGCTGCAGTACTCATTTGTTAAATACTTAGTATTCTCCTAGACTCTTTATTATAATAACATAAAAGTTAAACTCTAAGATAAATGTTTTCCTTAGACTCTCTGTTCTTTCACGCTTCCTGTAGATTTGCCTTTTTTGCTGTTGCTTACACCAGAATGACTCTTATACACAGCTGTTCCTCCTGGTCTTACCATCCAATCCATGGACACAGACAACCAGGTGAATTCCATCTTCCAAATTTTCTTCCTCTTCCTCTGGTGGAAAATATGGGATATCAGAAGCTAGTACAGATAAGTCACTGTACAGAAATCCTTCAATCTTCATTTCTTTTTTAAATTTTTCTTTGGCCTGATAAAAACTGGAGAATACATTAATTAATCACAGTAGAACTGGGTATTCAACAGCCAACCCTCAAACTAGAAATGAGAAGGTTCTATTCTGATTGGGAGAAATCAGGATGTAGAGAAGATAATAGGCTAAGAAAGAGGAGGGGAAAAAAAAGACTCTATTCTCCAGGTACCCTGAATGTCCATTCTCCCATTTTCCGTTTTCACAAACTGAAGTTAATGCCCTACAACCCAGCTGTGATCCCCTTTCATAGTTTAGTTAATCGTTAAAATTAAGCAGAAGAGAAAAACAAGCTATGGCACTGCAATTATATAGGATCAATACTCATGTCTGGGTAACCATGGCTTCATAATGGAGGGCAAAATCTTAAAGACTATAAATCCCACTATAAGACCCAAATCCCACTTGTTTCCATGAGGTTTAAGGACCTAACTTCTCTGAAGATCTTGGGTCTGTCTGTGTTTCTGTGTCTTCTGTCTACTTAGATTATTTATTATGTATAAATCATATGTCTACTTGGATTACTTGGACTGTAATTTCTCAGGTAGCAACTGTCTCTGAATACAAGTTTTCATTATCGCAGAATCATTAAGGTTGGAAAAGACCTTTAAGATCATCTAGTCCAACTGGCCACATACTGCCGATATTGACCACTAAACCATGTCCATAAGTATTACATCAACCTTTTCTTTAAATACATCCAGGGAAAGTGACTCTTCCATCTCCCTGGGCAACCTGTTCCAATACCTCACCACTCTTTCTGAGAAGAAATTTTTACCAATATCTGACCTGAGCCTCCCCTGGCACAACTTGAGGCCATTACCTCATGTCCTATTGCTGTTTCCTGAGAGAAAAGGCTGACACTTCCCTCACCACCACCTATTTCCATATTAGGGCCCTGAACTTTTTCAAGGTGACATGACATGACAGCAACATTAATTAATTAATCAGACATTCTTACTTCAGCATCCTTTCATTGGCCTCTTCATCCACCTCATTTGAATGGGAAGAAACTCCAAAAGAGCCCAGAGGCTGACGTGTGATGGGAAATGCAGCCTGCTTTGCAGAGAAGCCAACCATCGCAGGGGTCTCTTTGAGCACAGAAGAAAAGGGAAGACATGTGGCCGTGCAAGAGACAGAGAGGTTAACCACATCAACAGCCTTTCTGCTTTCCAGTGCTACCCCATCCACTGTAACCGAGTGAAACCCAGTGCCATTAGCTACAAGTTTCTGCCCTTGGTTGTCAAGTTCCTGAGGATATTTGTCCTGGCAGGATTCTGCAGCAGGATCTGCTGAGGCAGGTGAGTCGTTGAGCTCAATTTCCTGTAACCCCTGCATTTCTGCATACACCAGCAGGCTCTCATCAGCAAGAAAGCTATTGCATTCTCCTTGCATTGAGCCAAATTCTGTTGAAGTCTCTGAAGGACCTGAAACAGGATTGCAAATATGTGGTACCAGCTTTATGCTTTGTGAGAAACTGTCCTCTCCTGTTTTTCTCACATTGATGTACAAGTCTTGTTCTATTTTTAATCTGTCTGGCTTAGATGTATCCTTTGGATCTGTAATGTACTTATCAAACTCATCTATACTTTTGTCCAAGTAATTATTAGCCCTTGGTGTTTTTAAGCTGCACTCATCATTGCTCTCCAGTGATTGACATTCAGAGTCATTATCTCTGAGAGGATTACATGCAGGTGGTTTTGCACATTCCAAACTACAGTAAGTCTCTGAGAAATCTTCCTTTGTCTCCTCCCTTTGTAGTCCTATGTTGTCATTACTGTTTTTGGCAGAGGGTTTGGGAGGTCCTCTTGGTTCTAGTTGCCCACTTTCAGTGGTGAGCTGACACATAGAAAAATCCATCATTAATTGCCCATCTCCATTCTCTGTTTCCCTACAGCTTTTTAAATATCCTCCTGAGTCTTGTGAGGTTGCTTCAATGTGTTTAGATATGTCCACCTCCTCCAAAGTCTCCTCTGGGCTACTGATCTGAGGAGCTGAGACAGATTTAGTCAGTTTGGTAAGCTCCACTTCTCTCTCTTCTTCCTCAAAGGGCAAAGAGCTAATGGATGTGAGAGACGCTTGTATCCCGCTGGGCAGGCTGGTATTGCTTTCTGTGTGCCCACCCTCCAGGGAATTCCGGTGGATGGCATGTCTCCGTACCAAGTGGTGCAGGATCTCTCGATCACTGGGCAGTTCCAGAGCCCGGCTCCGAGCATCAGACCACGCCACTGAACTTGGTTCACTTTCAATGCCCGAATCTGATATAATAGAGGAGGATCTCTTTATGACCCCTGACATCAGGGTAAATTCTTCACACTCCTCAGTTCGTTGTTCTTTTGCGAACAACTTCACCTCCAAGCTGTGGGAGGGCAAAGCTTTCAAAACAGGCTGCAGAGGCTTGCTATCTGCATCTGGTGTTCTTTCAAGCCTGGTGAATTCACTCAGTGCAAGTTCAGAACTGAAATTACTCTCAGGATGACCAGATTCAGCCGTTTTATGTATTTCAGTCCTGCCTTCCAAGCCATCAGTTCCGCATGCCCCACACTCAATCTGAGCACTGACAATCAACACGGGCTCACTTTTGTGGGCACCCTTATTGCTAGATTTCTTCTCTTCAGAGGTAATACCCACTGAATGCCTATTGTCTTTTAATAAAACCTCCTTGCATGTTTTAGACTCCTCTGATATGCATTCTGTATTGCTTAGCTCTGAGTCAGAAGTAGTTTCCTTACTTGAAACATAAATGCTTTCAGGTTTCCTTTGGCCTTCTTTGTTTGCTGTACATACCTGAGATGTGGAGTGCTGGTTCAAACCCTTGGCTGCAAAAGCAGCACCTTCGGAATCGCTATACAAGCAAGGATTCCCGTTTATCCTGTCTGTGTGTATTAGCAAAGTACCTTTCCCAAAGTCTCCTTTCATTTCTACAGTGGCATCATTTGATGCAAGATTTTCCTTCTCGTGTATTGTATCAATTTGAGCATTGGCAGGAGCTTCAAAATCTGGGAAAGTATCCAAATTCTGATCTGAAAGAAAGAAAAAAAAAAAGAATTTGTATCTGCAACTTCCACACAGCACAGCATACTACCCACATGTGATGTGGGATTTGGAGCAGTGATAGTAAGGCCTAGAAAAATTATAATAATAATAAAATAAATATTTATATATTTATATAAATATACATATGTACATAAAACATATACATTATATAAATATATATATAATGATAATTATATAAATTATCTCTACATTAGAAATATATAACAAATGCAAATGCCAGAGTTCATTCAACTGGATTTATAATCAGTAAACAAGTTAAAATTAGGCAAAAAAAAGATGGAGTTATATTTTATTGATACTATCTAAACTGCTAGTTTCTAGCACTGATAAACCAATCAGAACTGGCACTTTATATTCCCACTGTTGTATCACATTATATGTAGTGTAGATCTTGCTTGTGAATCAGCTTATTACACAGTTTAATGGCTTAAACATTAGTAATTATTACTGTCAAAATTTAGGCAACTTGATAGCTCTGGAAGAGTGGAAATTCTGAATAACAAGCCATATTTACTGGACCATGGTCACTTATGGTATTAATATATATTACCTCTCTGCTAATCTTAATAGTTGCTTAAAAAGAAAAAGGAAGCAAAGACTAAAAGGTTGTACTTCAGTGTTGCAGAACTAAATATTTTCTTAAAGAAAAATCTGATTTAGCTACTATTGGGGAAATTATTTTTAAGAAAAGCAGTACTGCCTTTTGGGGACAGTGTTGGTCTTCACAGAAATTGTAAGGCTTTTTGTTCTGACTTTTCTTAACACTAGATGTCACTCTGGGTATGAAATTTGTTGCGCTGTTTGTTACCATAACAAAAATCCAATTTTTTTTTCTTTCTGGATTTTGCCTCCAGCCCTTTCAACTAAACATTGTGTTAAACAAAAAAACGTGAAGTTACAGTAAGTAATCTAAAGTTCAATATAAAAAGAAAAAAAAAAAAAAAAAAAAGACTTCAGCTCTATTTTGTAGAGGATTATGCTCTCATCCAAGGCAGAGCTAGTTCAAGATAGGTGAGATCAAATACCTTGGGCTAGGGAAGTCAACCTCCCCAGTTCCAGCTGTCTCGTGAAGCTGTACTCAGGGTGTTTCACTCACCTTTGCAAGGCAAATCCATGTACCTATCTTCAAAAATAACAGGAAGCGTGTTCCAGTCCCCATCGATGTCTAGGCATTCTGCTGGCAGTGGGGGCATGCTGGTGAAGTACTCTGAATTACGAATTTCTGTAGAAATCTGTGCATGACTTTGGATCCTGGCAGCAAAATGCAAAAGAAATTGAGTGTTTGAGTGGTTACTGTGCTGCTTCTTAGTCACTCCTGCAAGCCAGGCAGCAAAGGCAGTTAACAGTAGTGCTTTTCAATTGATATCACTGTGGGCTATAAGCTTTTTAGAATGGACAGGCAAGGTAGGAGGAGTTGAAGGGTTGCCTTCCATACTAAGAAGTGGATGGACTGCAAGGAGATCCCTCTGAGAAACAGCCAGAAACAGGTTGAGAGCATATGGGTTAAGATTAGGGATGAGACCAATAAAGTACAGCTCGTGGTCAGGGTCTACTATAGGCAACCTGATCAAGGGGAGCCTGTTGTCAAGTTCTTCTTGCTTCAGCTGCAAGAAGTGTTCTCACAGGCTCTTGGCCTGATGGGGAATTACAACCACTCAGATTTCTACTGAGAAAACAACACAGTGAGCTGCAAGCCATCCAGGAGACTCCTGGAGTCCATTGATGATAACTTTCTGTTTTGGGTATTGGACAGACTGACCAACCACAGGTGAAGTGTTTCTGGACCTGGTGCTCACCACTGCAGAGAGGATAGTTAAAGGCATTAAGAATGGAGGCAGCTTGAGTTTGAGCATCTGTGCCCTGGCTGAGTTTGTGATCTTGAGGAGTGTGAGCCTGGCAAAGAATGGAGTCAGGACCACATTTTGGCAACTTTTCAGATTATCAGTGGTAGGAGGCAGGTAATCACCATGTGCTAGTTAACTAGAAGAAACATTCTTTAGATGAAGAATTACTCAGACAAAAGATTTGTAATTCAGTTGATCTGTCCTCATGCCAGCATGGAAAATTCCTATCACCAGACAAAAAAATAAATAAATAAAATTGTGCAAACCATCATATTGGCTTCATCTTTAGAACATAATTGTTGTTGACCATCATTGCTCTTACCAGATATTTTTTCCTCAGGGATAAGCGAGTCACTGGTTGCTAAAACATGATTCAGGGAAAAGTCACAAACATCTAAATGCTCATTCTTGTTTGCATCAATATCTGGGTATTTGGAATTGAAACTTAGCACCATAATTAAGTTCTTACTGACACTAATAAATAGAACCAGCATTTATACTAAAGGCAGTATGTAAAAATTATAAATGTTCTCTGAGACCAGACTCTGGCACAAGAAAAATGAATCATTAATACCAATAATTTTCTCTGTAAAATATTGGGAGACTGTGTCACCTGCCATCCTGCGTGATACCCAGTCCATTTGAAATGGTATTTCTCGTTGTATTTGAGTAGTAAAATGCTGCCAAGCATGTAAGTGTGTGGCCCAACACAGATCAGGCTGGATGGGGCTCTGAGAAACCTGATGTATCTGTAGATGTCCCTGTCCATTGCAGGGAATTTGGACCAGATGATCTTTAAGAATCTCTTCCAACTCAAATAATTATATGATTCTGTGATTCTAGAGACTTACAACCACAGTATGGGAGGCAAAAACAACGTTCTTGTCTGGTAATTTCTATCAAAGAAAGACAGAATTGGGGAAAAACTATGTTCATATTTGAAGTCTTTGTACAGTATCTGGCACACTGAGAGTTGACCTCATCTGGAGCCTCTCTGAACCCAATTAAAACTCCCTGCTGGCACCCCCACCAGTAATAATACTCGGGCAGCCTTTCCACCAGAGTATTATTCTGCTTTTCTAATTGCACCACATAGCCCAACCAAAAGGAAAACAGGATTCTGACATGAAGCCTGTATAGACCAATTAATGAAATTTACTGCAATTGACCAATATTTAGCATTTGCTAAATGATTTTATTTTTGTACTCTCTCACCTCAATAGTGACTGAGGAAAAATGATGCTTATCTACAGGAAATGGATTAGCTCTGTATTTGTTTGGAGAAATAAAAGCACTTCATGCAATTAGGCTTCCCTCTGTGCAGGGTTGTGTTTGCTTAGATGGTGCCATGAGTGATATTTGCCCTAACAACAGGGTCCTGACATGGGGCTTTTCTTATACACGTCTCACTTAAAACATGACTTAATGAGGACTAAGTGAGCATAGCTGGGCTCTTGCAGCCATGACTCTGCTCTAATTTGGCAGAACAAGGTAGCCTTGTATAACCAGTTCACTAATGAAGCCACAGAGCTTTCCTCCAGCACCAAATAGGCCTTAATGTTCCCAGTGATAGCTCTGAGAAAGTCGTGTTCTACTTTGCTCTTGGTTGGAAACAAATGTCTCACTTTAGCCCTGTCATCATGACAGGATTGTCCATCATGGCCTTGTAACCACTTCTGAAAGACAGGTTTCTGTTTCAGTAATGCTGTAGTACTCCCATTTCCGTGTTCATGCAGATATCATCTGCACATCCTTCATTATTTTAAAATTCAAATCAGCAGAGCTTTTCTTGAACTCTGCCTTCAGGGTTTGAGTCGTGAGCATTACCCATGCTGTACATTCGGGTTTATAGGCAGTAAGAAGTGTCAAGTAGAAGGAAATAATTATCTTGTTCATGTTTCATAGCATATTCTTGCAAATGCAGCCCAGTGCAACATTTATTTTCCCAGATTGTTTGATTCTTGGTTGGACTAGATGAGGTTTTTTTCTAACCTTAATCATTCTGTGATTCTTAATCAATTAATTATCAACCCTGAGCTCACATCACTCTCTCACTTCCTCTAGCTAATGTGGTGGTTGTCCTCATTTGGTGCTGCATCCAGTGAATGTTCACATCTCTGCACCAACCATATAATAAATCAAGGTTCTACAGTAATAGATCTTCACTGCTATGGAAAGTAGGGATAGACAAAATATCTAAATAAATCCATGAATGCCTACACCCAAATACGTTACAAGGAAGAGTAGAAAACAAACTCATAAATGTTAATTTTTTGTTATTTTCCAACAGTTACCTCCTATTAAGATTTCCATTACTAAATCTTGTAGAGGAAGTTTATGAATTTAATTGAACAAAGACATCAAAGATGCTTTTGTTTGCCCTGAAATTGGTGGTGTTGTAGATAAGCTCTAAGATACATGCATCCAACTGGGAAATAACAAGGGAAAGAGGATCTCCTACATCCTATCACTAGAATGCTCTTGCTACAGTGTTTTAGTCATTCCCTGAATCTGAAAGTAATGTGAGAGAGGGAGTAAAAAAAATAACTCTCTTATATGAATTATAAGAATTTTAAAAGTAGTCATCTCTGAGGCATCATCTTACTTTGGACATTGCTTTCAAAGGATTTACTATATGGAGCTAGAATAGACCTGGTGACTTCTCTCAAAACAACCCTGCCCATAAACAGCAGAAAAGATCTCATTCTTTTTAGAAAAATATATTAAGCAACTATATTTTCAGCTATATCAGTGGCAGGAGAGATTCAATCAGTTACTTACAGGCCTTCCTGGAACGTCAGCACAGCAAGTTTATTGTGTTCAGTGTAGAAGAAGGCTTCTGAGAATCTCCTTACCTGGGGAAGAAACATGGAAGTTAAACCTAAGATCTGCTGAAAGGTGCCAAATGCAATTAAGCTAAAAGCAGAGCAATGACTGTCAGGACTAGATTCCTTAATGTTTCATTTGCTTTGCACCGCTCTGGTGTCAGAAAGAAAATAAAGAACTCAACTCTGCTTTAGTTTCCCATTCTAGTACAAAGCTGTTAGTCTTATTGCATACCTTGCTGGAAGAACAGTCCCTTGACAGTAAACTAAGATTTTCTTTTGTGTGTCTTCCCACTACTTTCCTTAAAGTGTCAAATTTAACATTTTTCTCTGTAATATTAAAGTGAGGAAGACTTCTTCCTTTCCCACTGTACAAATCATAGCAGCAGTGGAGTGGGTTAATAAATTAGAACAATTCAAAATTGAACATCTTTTCTATGGAACAGTCACAATTCCCAAGATATTAAAGGAAGTTTTACACATCATCCCAGAAGAGAATAAGTCCTATCATGATGGAAACATATCAGCCTACATCACTATACATACAAATGAGAGTTCTTCAGATCTCCTCAAGGACAGTAGATTGGATAATCAATTTAAAAAAATAGTCACAGATTTGAAGATCTGGCAGAGGACAGAGTGCAAAATAACCTATAAAAAATTCAGTGTTGCTGTTTGATATGGAATAAGTGTTGAGTTTCAGTCAGTCCATCATAATGTGCATAGTAATGAACTGTTGAGCTGCAGCCTATACATTACTATGAAAATCTGTAAGAGCCATCTCTATTACAGTGTCAGAGAATGGCAATGAAAACCACATCATAGGATCTCAGCATATCACTAAATCCCAGCCATACGTCAACAAATGGCTTTTCTAATAAGAGAAGGACTAATACCCTTTAAAATACTGCTTTTTTTTATTTATCTGGAGCTCTAAAACTGCTTTACATAACTGGGAAAGTATTATTGCACAGCTTACATGTAGAGAAACTGAAGTAAGTGAAGGTCATAATTTGCCACAGGTCATGCCAGCAGTAGGCATCCATTGATACTGAAATTCACCTTGCTGGAGCTGGGGGCCTGTCAAGTTGTGTTCTTTGGCTGATGAAGTCATCTTGATCCTCTCAAAATGGAGGGAGACCGAGACAAAATAATGAGGGGAGCATCAGTGTTGTTCACATCTTCCTGAATTTTATGTCTTCCTTTTGCAGGCATTCACATTCTCTCAACTCCACTGACTGGACCTCCAATAATAACTTTAACAACTACCAGTATGTAAGCTGGAATGCTAACACCTACACTCTAGATATCTAAAGCAAAGCAAGATGAATCCTATCATTTTCTGTATGCTCCTAATCTAATGATTAGATCAGCCTAGGAGCTTAGCTCAGCTGAAGTGATGAAAGTGATGCACATTCAATAACCAAAAAAGTCCTCATGGAAGGCACAGCACTTGCTCACTAATCAAGTAGGCAGATCTGACAAAGTCAGTTCAAAAGGCAATCATTTTTGTGCCTTCTTTATTACCAAAAAAACAATTTCCACATGAAAAGTATTAATATTTCATTTTGTGAAACTCACTAGGAGAAAGGCAGTAACTAGTTGTATATATGTGACTTAGTGAAGGGAGCGTCCCTAATGGCATAATTCTGTGCTTTGAGAAAGCAGCTGAAAGAAACTCATCTTTTGGTTATTTGTCATTGTGGTGTTTGTGCCTTTTAAAACATATGTTTATGATTGCTGGATAAGTAACCAATATGGGGCATCTCTATCTCTTTCTCCCCACCTTATGTTCCATGCTGGATTCTGGTGTTCAGAGTACACTCATTTAATACAAAATTATGGGTACCGTAAAAGCAACATCTTTCCAATATTCCAAAAATTGAAATCTGTATTTAAATCCTCTTTTCTCGTCTTTGTCTTACTCAATTCCATCTCCATTAAATATTCATAAAGGCATAATAGTAAGAGAAATATCTGTCCATATATACCATTAATATCATTCAGGAGGTTACCATTACAGAACTTGCTTTTAACTTCCTAACATTACCCTTAGCGTATGATGTTCTTGAGTCAGATAAGCTGTGACTTCAGGATGAAGTGTTGCCACCTCCAGGAACTGGGTCCACAGAGCCAGGAGGTGGGAGCAAAGCCAGGAGAGGTCCTTGCTTATCTGTTCTGCTATCTTCTCTGGATTGCTCAACAGCTACAGGGAAGAAAGGGCTTTTTGAGAACAAGACAGTGGCAGGATAGAAAATCAGTTAGCATGTTAGATGAAGTCCTTTTAGAAACAACAACAAAGTTCTCCTGACTTAGAATTATTACTAAGGCACTATTTTACCCAAAATCTTGTAAGTGAAACTTCTGCTCTTTAAAAACAAAAAAAAAACACCCTAGTTATACAACTGAAGAGAAAGAAAATTAAGATGATGATGGGATTGGAGCACCTCTCCTTTGCAGAAGGGCTGAAAGAACTGCTACTGTTCAGCTTGCAGAAAAGGAGGCTCTCAGGATCTCATCAGTGTCCTTTAATATCTGAATGGAGAGTGCAGAAAGGACAGAGACAGGCTTTTGTCAGTGGTGCCCAGTGCCAGAACAAGAGGCACTAGGCACAAACTGGAAGACTGGAGGTTCCCTCTGACCAACAGGAAGCACTTCTGTACTGTGTGGGTGATGGAGCACTAGTACAAATTGTCCATAGAGCCTTCTCCCTGGAGATCTTCAAAAGATGCCTGGACAAGGTCCTGGTCACCCTGCTCTAGGTGTCTGTGCTTGAGCAAGGGTTGGGTCAGACGGATCCAGAGAGACCTTGAAAACACATCCATTCCTTGATTATGTGAATTGGGAATAGCCTCAATCTTTACAGAAACTTTACTGTAGATGTAGTAAACAGAGAAAGAAAAATAAACAAACAAGCAAACAAAACAACAAGAAAAACATTAAAGACGACAAAGAAAACAGATTCCAAACTACCCACCAGATGGTGCTGAAAGCTCTGAAATAATAAACAAAGATGGAAGGAAGGAAGGAAGGAAGGAAGGAAGGAAGGAAGGAAGGAAGGAAGGAAGGAAGGAGGGAGGGAAGGAAGGAGGAAGGAAGAAAGGAGGGAGGGCAGGAAGGGCAGGAGGGAGGGAGGGAGGGAAGGAGGGAAGGAAGGAGGGAAGGAAGGAGGGAAGGAAGGAAGGAGGGAGGGAAGGAAGGAGGAAGGAGGGAAGGAGGGAGGGAAGGAAGGGAAGGAGGGAGGGAAGGAAGGAAGGAAGGAGGGAAGGAAGAAAGGAGGGAGGGCAGGAAGGGCAGGAGGGAGGGAAGGAGGGAAGGAGGGAAGGAGGGAAGGAGGGAGGGAGGGAGGGAGGGAAGAACTGTGCCCTCAATACACAATGCAAACAGACATCCCAGTCTGCTGTTTCTTCTGTCAGGGTTGGATGGGGCCCTTGGAGCTCTCGGTTGCATTTCTGTACTGAATGCAACCCAGAGAGTGCAGGTCAGCAGCACAGTCCCTGCGTACTGACCTCCCTTGTTTGACAGCTTCTTTAACAACAGTCAGACTGAGTTGGCACAAAGGGCCTATCTGCTTGCACAAAACAGGTAATACTTCCATATACATGATAGAAATGGAATTTTCTTTCTTGGCCAAGTCTTTTTACTTTTTGGTTGTTGTTGTTTGTTAGAATTTTAGTCTAGCTGCAAGCCTATTTTTTTTGTACTGTTTATTGCGCAGTTAATTTCCAGACTGGTGATGCTGCAAACTAAGTAAGATTAAAAGCCAACTGTATGAGAGAGAAATAAAAAAAAAAAAATCATTTGTGGGTAATAAGCACTGATACTGTCATAGCTCGCATTTTTTGGGTGCTATTTGGTCTTAATAATTAGTCAAAAATGGGACAAGCTCCAGTACCCATTCAGGTATAAGGGACATCAGGGGATGCTGTCAGACAGATGACACTGCCCGTATATCACTCTATTCAGAGTCAGGTCATTTCTTCATTTCTGTACTCAATTTTATATGCTGTATGTCAATCTTATTTTTTCATTTTTTCTTCATTTTTTTTTCTTTTTTGTTTGTTTGTTTGTTTGTTTGTTTGTTTGGAAGGAAGGAAGGAAGGAAGGAAGGAAAGAAGGAAGGGAGGGAGGGAGGGAGGGAGGGAGAAGGAAAGCACTATGTACTTTAATTCTGAGAGTTTAGCTGCCCAGCTAGGCAGTAGCCTAGCAATCCTAGCACTGCAGGACAATTCTCAAGGACTTTGTTCTTCATTGCCCATGGGTTAATATGGTCAGTAAATGCAATTCTGGCTATTCTGTTCATGTACTTTGTGCTGTGTGGTCCGGTTTTAACAATACTGTTAGTCAAAGCAAATTTAGAAAACATTTTGGAGAAATTATTATGTTTGACTGTTTAAAAGTCATTTTCAAAATTAAAAAAACATGAGCCCTCCATTTTTTTCCTGTTTTGAATAGCTACTGTGTCCTTGGGTTAAATACAGAACAGGGCAAAATTCACCTTCTTCTCTTCTTTTGTTTTTATTTAATTTTAAAAATGGACCAGACTCTGGTAACATGATGGTAATGGGAAACTAACCCCACGGGCTTCCTTCTGTATAGTTTTAATAGCATTTTCTTTCTTTATAAATGACTGTCCTTTGTATTTTTTGCTGAAGAGAAATGGTTTCAGTTCACATTTTCCTAGAGGCAAAATACTTGGAAAGCTTGGTCAATACTCTTCTGAAAACTATACAGAGGTTCACATGACTTCTGCACTTAATTGCAGAGATGGTCAATGCTATTCCTTGTCCCAACAGCACTGTACAATCCTTCATCATTTGTGTCTTATTAGTCTCTGAAAATTCAGTCATTAATCATCAAAAGCCATGATTTTGGGATGCTAATGCCAACATTTTTAATGGTATATGTGAAAAGTTCTTATATCACTCTAGATAAACAGCTGTTGTAGCTATTGTGTTCTCCTATCTGTTACTACTCTGTTCCCAGAAATTTCAAAAAAAAAAAAAAAAAAGCAAAAAAAACTGTCTGGCTTTATAAATATGGCCAGTCAATACGAGAACAAGAATTGGACAGGAATTTGAAAATACAGAGAAATTAGACGTGACATTTTCTGATGTATGCCAACTCAATATGAACTTTCTTGGACCTATTGGTCCCAAGGAGACTCTAGATTATGTTGTCTGACCGCCAATACCCTAAAGGCTTCTAAATTTCTGCAATCCAGTTGAGCTGAGTCCCATAATTTACATTTCTCTAAATTTAGATGAAATCAAATTTATTTCTAATAATCCAATTTCTGATTCGATATTAAGAAATATGCTATTTCAGTCCTTTTTTTACATATGGCTAAAAAACATTGTCTCACCACTTGTAACTGCAGTGTAAATACAAGTGCAGTTTGGTTTTGTTTCAGCTCCATTAATTGTTATTTTGTCGTTCTTCCCTATGCTGTCTTCCTGCTAATAAACTGAACAAATCAAAAATATTAAATCTCTGATTATAAAACACTTTCCCCAGTGATCAACTGACGTTTGCATTTCTTTCTGGTTCCCTTGATGACTGCCTATGTCTCACTTGAAATCAAAACAGCAGAAGTTCAAGACAGTAATTCAGTTACTGCTGTGTCAAAATCACTTTTTCCTTCCCACAAGCTTCCTTAGACATTTAGGTGTTTTTATTTGAAAAAAAATGTGGCTGCACAATCTGCCACGGGGTATTCTCTCCTGTCAGCACAAAAGTTGTAATTGCAACCTATTCCAAATCAACTTTTGTGAATACTATTGACATTCTGCCTGAGCTCACTGAAGGATGCTGAAGCTCCCAGCTGGTGAATTGTTAAAAGTAACAGAAACATCATGTAAGTGGATAATCAAAATTATGTGAAATTTTGGTGGAAAAGAAACATCCAGCAACTTTCTTCTGGCACCAAATTACCTTTCTCCCTATTCCAATACATGATTGTGCTGTCTCAGTGCACTTGAAAAATAGACTTGAAAAAAAGCACCGACTGATTCTGTTAAAGACAATACCTGCAGCTCTGCACAGAACTGAGATAACGTATCTTCCACAGGTAGCTCCTCTAGAGAAAAAACAAACAAACAAACAAACACAAAAACAAACAAAAAAAAGAGAAAGAAACAGGTCAGATTTAAGAATAGTAGAGATGAAATGTTAATGCTGTACTTTTTGTTAATACAATAAATAAGAAAATAAATAAGATATTCTTCGTCAGTGGACAAGTTTCAAGTTGGACAAGTTCACGCACAACACACCTTGTACTTGTAAGGGTACAGGTACAAACTCTGCTTGTGAGACCTAGAAAACTAAGCCTGTAGATGTTCTGGAAGGTTGTTGCCATGACAGAGGATAGAATTTGGCTTTTATTGTCTCTCTCTTAATAGAAATTTCTTTACTAGCTTTTGAAATTTATTAGTATACACAAATATCAGAAGGGAGGCTGCAAAGAGACAGAAACTTTTCAATAATGCCCAGTGGCAATAGGCACAAAACAGAACCCAGGATATTCTCCCAGTCACAAGAAAGAACTTCTGTACAATGCATGTGATGGAGCCCTGGCACAGGTTGCCCAGAAGCTGTGGAACCTCCTCCTTGGAGATTGTCAAAAGCCACCTGGACATGGTCCTGGGCACCCTGCTCTGAGTGTCCCTGCTTGAGCAGGGGTTGGACAAATGGACCCAGAGGTTACTTCCAACCTAAACCATTCAGTCATTCCGTGGTTTATGGCCAATTGCTCAACTAAATTGAGCAATGTTGTCTCACCATTGGAACATGTGATCAAATGATGTACAATAAATAGTTCTCCATATCATGTTACACAAGGCCATGTAACATAAGTCCTGCACATCTGAATGGTAATAGATGAGCATCTCTGTATTGCCCTGTGCAGTGTGTGCAGTGTGGAGAACTTTGCCTAGAGCAGCAGCATTGTTTTGATGTAGTCCTGAGAGAATCCAGCATAGGGATACTCCACATTAAATGCACAGCAAACTATGAAGAAGGGGAGGATATATATCAACTCTCCAACTCTTGCAGCTAGATTTTGTGATGTGGAACTTTCTAATAGCATACATTAAAAAAAATAAATAAAATTAAAACTAATTTCCTTCCCAATCCCCAGTGATTTTTCTCAAATAGTACTACAGACTGAGATCTTTCTTTAGCTGGCAAAATGTGAGAAACAATAATTTCCACTTTTAATGTCTTAACTAGACTATTAAATTTTAATATACTATTCAGAGGGCTAGGAAAAAAAAAAAAAAAAAAGAATTAAGAAAGTCCACAGAGAAGATTTATAGTCTTGTATTTATCTTAACTATCTTTAGAAACCCATGATGAGATTAAACTCACCAAATATAGATGTCTAAAACTGAATGAGTCATTTACATTCTAGTGGTCAGTGGAGAAAAATGAGCAAGTAGAAGGTGCTGTTCATGTCATCCTAAGGAAGAAAGCACTATTTGTCTGATAATATATTTTATAGTCTTAAATGAGTCTGTTTCTCCCTAGTGACTGTAAGAACAGTCTGGGCAACTGTCTCGCACAAAAACAAGCTTGACATTCATTATTCTGGGTAAATCTTATACTCCATGATTTTGCTAGGCTTTGCTACCAGCCTCAGAAGTCTGTCTTTAAAATCAAATCTTCAGTAGATGTTCAGGCTGTGAATAAAATGATGCAAATAGTGCTCTGCTCAAGCAGCTAGAAAGGGTATTTGCGTTTAGCAAATCTGCATGTATTACAAGTACACTTGCAAATTAAGCACTTGCTTCAGTACCAGATGTCATTTGAAAACCAAGTCAATTGTATTCAGAATACCAATATGTGCACATCTGAGTCTGTTCTTCAGTTGTGGTCAACCAAACATAACTCTGCCAGTTCCCCTTCTGTAAACCTTTTCAGGTAAAACATAAATCATCTAAAAATGTGCCTGATAACCAAGATGCCTGAACTACAGGTTTTGCTGCATGTTGGATTTTGTTTGACAGCTCATAAGTTGCAAATAAAAATGCTGTAACTTTATTTTTTTTCCTGTAGCTGAATGGAATACCGCAGTATGTATTCTCCCCACTCCATGAGTTGCAGGCTATTTTGAATGGAAATATATATCAGGGAATAAGGAATGAAGCGAAAAATAGAAGCTATCAAGCCCATAAGTATGTACAGCATAATGTGTTATATTTGAAAGCTTGTAGTATCTACACAGTGATTTTTTTTTCCCTCCCTTTTAAAATCTGTTAACTAATGCATTCACTACTCTTAATATAATTAACTCTGCAATATAACAATCTGACAGCTGTGTATACAAACATACAAAGTCACAAAAAAATAGATGAGACACATTCCTTGAATTCAAAGAAACAGTATGGAGAGCAGGAATTAGTCAGAGATGCTCCTTATTTTCATAGGAGCTCACACTATCATTACACACATGACCAAATGCAAATTACAGAGCTCTGTTCCTCCAATCCAACCAGCGCTTCCACGTTGGACCCAAACAGCCTGACAGCCAAAAATGGTTTTACCTATAAGCTAGAAAATCTATTAAATGAATTAGAAAGAAGAGCGGGGTCATTTTAAAGAGCAAGATGTAATTATGCTATTGGCAGAAAAAGTATGGCAAAGTATGAGGGAGGGAGTGTGTTTCAAAAGCATTCATATCAACTATTTCCAATTTGTGTTTTCAGTTTAAAACACGGCTGAGCAAAATTTCTAGTCTTCCCCAGACCTCATGATGATTCAGAACTGGAAGTTAGAGCAAGTGAGTCAAAATATCATTCAGAAGCATGTATTTTGAGAAAAATATCGCAACATTTTTACCTCTCTACTCATCAGGCCACGTTCAGATGAGGATGAAAGGATATTCATATACTGAGAAAGCGGTAGTCTGGCAGTACTGTGCCAAAATAAACACTAATCAGAAAATAGGTGAGAAAATTCTCTAAAATCTTCAAACATGTCGAGAATTTTTCTACTGAAACTTGTACTGAAAACATAGCAGTGGATTATGTTGAGTGATCTAAAATGTCTGTTCACTTACCCAACTTCAGCTGTGGTAAATCAGGAACCTCCTTCATTATGAGGGTGTAGTACACGTGAAGTCCTCTTTGAGCATTCAGGAGCAGAAGACAGAGGTCCTTATGCCATTTATATGCATGTTGCATGCAGTTTTCAGATGGGACATAAAAACTTCCCTATATAACAGAAGTATCAGGAAAATAATAGAAAAATACAGAGATTATAATTCTTGCTCTCCATGTGTCCTAAAGGTTTCCATAAAAATCTTTTTCTCAACTTTTAACTTCTAATCAAGCAGTTAGCACTCAGGCCTACCTCCTAATCAGCTAACTATCTAGGCATATGTTTACAATAGTACCTCATTCTTTGTGCATGCTCTTCCCAAACCATATCAAAACGAGTAGGTCCCAGAAATGTATTAAATGGACATGGTCCCATGTACTGAAACATTCAGTCCAAATGCTCCAACATATCAGTCTGGCTCTGCTTTTCACCCATATCCCATTGTGGAACAAACATATTCCTACGGAGCAGACAGTGTAAGCAATGGCACATCCTTTGCTACAGAATAATTGTAGAATATTCTGGGTTGAAAAGGATCTCAAAGATCATCTAGTTTCAACCCCCCGCTACATGCAGGACTGCTGACCACCAGACCAGGCTGTCCAGAGCCATATCCAGCCTGGCCTTGAATGCCTCCAGGGATTCCACAACTTCTCTGGACAACCTGTTCCAGTGTGTCACCACCCTCTGAGTGATAATGGATAGAGAGGACTAAAAGGAAAACTATATTTAAATTCCTTTTTCCTCATATTTTCTTAAGCCCTCCTATGAAGTTTGGAGCTTGATGTCACTGTGGCATAGAATCATAGAATCATAGAACTGTTTGAGTTGGAAGTCGTCCTTAAATGCTATCTAGTCCAACAACCATGCTTTGTTATGAATATTAGTAAAAAAAAATGCTGATGGTAATGCTATTCTGTCTACTAATGAGAATCATTCTGTCCTCCAGGATAAACACAAGGATTACGATCTCTCTTGTGGGAAGAGATGTCAATGGACGACTGCAGCACAATTATACAAAATTTTTCCCAAACTTCTTTGCTCTTTGAACATAAGCTGAGTTGGCATAAAGTCACCATATATCAAAGTTTTCAGTTCTGTCAAAAACACTCAGAGAAATAAAGTAAATTTGAAATTTGCAAGGCTCAGATGTAAACTAAAACTGGTTCCTGAACTGTGCTTTTGTGGCCAGAATTTCATGGACAGTTGTAAGAAATATTACAACAATTGTCAACAACAGCTCATATTTCCAAGGTTTCTGTAAGCAATGCATTTTACAGTTCTTACCCAGATCATGGACCTGTCATCCTCTTTCAATTGCTCCTAATAGTGTAGCAGAAAGATCTGTTACAGCTTGCAATCAATGATAATAGCTGGTTCTTGTTCCATCCCAAGGGAGTAATTTATATGCTTTGCACAAGAAGCGAGGATTATGAAGACAAAGAAAGAAAGCCACAAAGGTACTCTATCCTTGAACTTTATGAAGCGTTAGGTAAATTGAGTATATATCTAGATCTACAACAGATGACGTGCACAAAGGCATAAGTCAGGATGCTCCCACTAATGTATGGCTATGGAGAAGCAAGAACAATTTGCAACTTACTCCACAATTGATCGCTAATGGAGTAAGTATAATTCCTACACCCTGGTTAGGTACTGTCTGCCTTTTTGGACACCGAGTAGTTAGTAGTTACTAAGCCAATGGCCTCAACAGCCATTTCCCAGAAGAACAGTGAAGACTCACCAACCACATGCCAGTGTACCTCCCACACTGTTCTATCTTTGAGTCCCCAAGTAAACCTACATTTCCTAGATCTTAACTTGAGTTGGGATCCATTTCTCAACTTTTTTGTGCAAATGATCAAGATATTAAATAGCGTTCTGTGGTAGACACAATGGGGACTTCTCAGCTTGACCCACAAAGAGCTGGTGATGACTGTCTGTATTGGTTGTTCCTGGAATGTATCAAAACCCTCAACCTAATTATGTATCTAAATTTTACTCTTGCAATGGAAAATAGAAAAAAATAAAAGAGCATAATCAAATGCTGCTGGGAATAATAGAAAATCTGATGTGGATTGATACACAATGTCACAAAAATGTCCTGCTCCATAATCCATTGCTGATTTTTTAAGCAAAAATTGCTCTAGCATTTAAGTGCTGTACTGACAAGCAGAAGGAAAAATGTGAGGTAATTTCATAGTTCATATCAGTACTGTAACACAGAATTGTTGAACAAGTCTAATTTTTAATAGGTGTAGTTGGAACCTTTCTTGGAATAAATTGTTGTTTAAAACTAAAAGTAAAAAATACTATGAAAATGCAACTCCATGTAGGCTCCAAAATGTGTGATTTAAAGATGTTGAAAATCCTCATCAGTTTATTCTTCCTTAAGTGCATTAGTGTTTGTCTAATATTCGTATAGTACTGAATAAAGAAAAATTTCTTAGAAATTCAATAGTTTAGGTTATAGAGCGTAGGCATTCAGGAGAATATACTTTGCAAAGATTTACTTAGTGCTAAAACACGATATGGGAAATAATTATTATTCAAAATAGTTTACATTATGTGTTACCAGTTTAACTTCGTCATTATTGTAGAAATAGAAGGAAGGGATGCCGTCCAAAGGGACTTGGACAAGCTTGAAATGTGGGCCCACAAGAACCTAATCATATTCAACAAGGTCAAGTGCAGTGTTGGACTTGGACTAGGGCAATTCCAGGAATGTGTACAGACTGGGAGAGGAATTCCTTGCTCTGCAGAGAAGGACTTGAGGGTTCTGATGGACGAAAAGCTGGACATGAGCCAGCAGTGTGCGCTTGCAGCCCAGAAGACCAACAGTATCCTGGGCTTCATCAACAGAGGGGTGGCAGCAGGAAAGGGATTGTTCCCCTCTACTCTGTTCTTGTGAAGACCAATCTGGATTGTTGTGCCCAGGCCTGCGGCCCCCAGCAAAAAAAAGGAAGCGGAGTTGTTGGAGTGGGTCCAGAGAAGGGTCACAAAGATGCTCAGAGTGCTAAAGCATTTCTCCTATGAAGAAAGGCTGAGGGAGTTAGGCTTGTTCATCCTCAAGAAGAGAAGGCTGTGGGAAGGACTTACTGCAGCCTTCCAGTAGTTAAAGGGAGGTTATAAACAGGAGGGAGACCAACTTTACATGGACAATTAGCGATGGGACAAGGAAGGATGGTTTTAAGTACAAGAAGGGAAATTTAGATTAGAAATTAAGAGGAAATGTTTTATTCTGAGAGTGGTGAGACACTGGCACAGGTTGCCTAGAGTAGCTGTGGATGTCCCATGTCTGGAGGTGTTCAAGGCCAGGTTGGATGGGGCCCTGTGCAGCCTGAGCTGGTGGGTGGCAATCCTGTCCATGGAAGGGGCTAGGAACTAGATCATCTTTAAGGTCCCTTCCAACCTAAGCCATTCTATGATTCCATGATCCTAATTTGAAGTATCATTTTGTCAAGGTGGGAAGTGAGAGTGATGGAAAAAAAGATCAAGTTCCAAATCCCTGGTCCTTCAGTGACAGTAAGGAATTACTGCCTTCAGAAGACTGCTTCTTTGGAAAGTTGTTGCACACATAGAGGCAAAGCAGGACAGAGAGATTATTAAACCCACCTCAGGGACAGTTTAGGTAATGTGAGCTAAGGTCTGTGCATCCTTGTCTGCTGGGGATCCAAGCACAGACATCTGTCAGACAAGACCATTCTAAACTACTGTAGCCTTAATCAACCTATCCATCACTGTTCAGTAATCTGGGAAATGTCAAGAAATGCCCTCCTTTGGGATGGTCTGAAGACTGCATACCTTCCACATTCTTACTTTTAATTGCTTTTTCTACTACACTGTTTAAGTGGTTGCTGTTTTATAGGTTATAGCCTAGCTTCATGCTACAATACTAAAAAATCAAGCTCTGTGGCAATCATGGAAGGTAGTATTCTAATGAAAAAGAGTACTGAAAAGCTAGAATCCAGGAAGAACACTGTCCATGACCCATTAAACAACTACCAAGTGCTCAGAAATCTGTGCTCCTTGAATCAGGACAGATACCTTTTATTCCAAAGGATTTACTTCTGGTTAAGACACAACCCATGTTAAAACAAGTTTACATAGTTAAACTGACAGTCTAAGCTTGCCCAAAGCATACTGTCTATCTGGGCTTGTAAAATCCACTGTGAAATTACATTAGCTTCCTTGAACATTTTGAGTAAATTCCTTTGGTCTATGTTAATTTATTCTCATTGGTTTGTAAGTAAGAACAGAATTTTCTATGCTAGTTCAAAATGTATCTGTACTGCTTTCCTTTTCCATGAACCTCTCTGCAATAGCAGAATATTTCCAGTTTTGTTCTTACCTACTTCTGAAAAGTTTGTGAGCAAATAAATGTCTTAGAAATCTTTACTTCAAGACTTACCACCTAAATGTACTCCAATAGCAGTGATGGAGGATGATACCGAAGCCACTAGTGTTGACACCAGAGAAAAGTACAACTTTTATTGTGCCAACAGCATAGAGACAAAATATATCATGAAAGTCATAAGATGATAGAAAAACAGAAACGGGCAGTCAGGAAAACAATGCAAAGAACTGCAAATAATGCCAACAATTTCAGAATGCAGTGATTTTTTAAGAGTTAGTTTTTCTATGGTTTTGAAAAATATCAGTGGTATTGATCTGAAATGAAAGTAAGAATAAAGTTGTCCCATTAGATGCCAACATGTATCTGATAAACCCTCACCTTGAGAACTGTGTGCAGTTTTGGGCACCATGATGTAAGAAGGACATAAAACTAAGAGAGAGAGTCAAAGGGAGAACTACAAAGAAGCTATGGAGAAGGATATAGAGGGCAAAGTGTGTTTTGAGCAGCTTAGATTGCTTGGTTTGTTCAGCCTTCAGTTGAATTTGGCCATGTTCTGCAAAACCAGATCCTGACAATGCATACTGTATTTTGTCCACCCATCCTCTAAAATTTCTTCTAGTGTTTACTCAGCCAAAGAAAATAGCCTAAAAACTCAACAACTTCAAAATAAACAAAACATTCCTGACAATATCCCTGCTAAATAGACTTAAATAAATCACCTTTTAAAATGAATGTGTCCTGTGTAATGTTCTTTTT